TTTATTACTAACACTTTGTGTCTCAAGACCTTATTTCTACCCAGGAGAACTTTTACAATCTTTTCTCCAATGCCTGATGAAGAGTGCTTGTGCCCGAAAGTTTGCAATTAGATATTTACAAAATAATGTCTTTAGTTGGTCTAATAAAAGGTATCACCTCTAGTATGAGTCCTGATTGCTTATTCAAACTAGAACACTTATCTCACGAACAGAAAAAAACCTCAGGTTCTTATCAAAATACACATCTGCTATGGAAGCAAGACCATGTAATTAAAAAAAAAATAGTTTCAGGTTTTCAAACTAACATCATATGACTGAAAAAAACTACAACATAAAATATATTAATCTACAGGAAAAGATTTATTTAAGTACCAGGCTGAGGTCCATGATTTATGTACTAAGGCAGGACATTAACCCAGTTATGTGATTTAACAGGGCCAATTGAGATTCTTGTGGTTGAACTGTGCAGCCAGCTTCTCCATTTGATTATTTCATATTGCTGAAATAAATACTTTGCATGTACTTAGTACCACTATCAGCACCTAATGATTGGAAGCACGTTAAAAAAAAAAATGAAGAAAAAGAACTCCCTTGTAACTAAATTAAGGAAGCAATACTATTCTGATGCCTGGATCAGGTTTGTCCTCCCAGAATAAGATTGGAGAGAGGCAGATATTTGCACAGCCCTGTTCTGTGGGAAGCCAACAGAAAACCCACATTCTGCTGCAGACTAATGATCCAGCCCACCATAGGCTACAACAGCAGACTCACAAAGCATCAGGAATACATGAATTGCAGAGCTTTGCTGAACATGACTAGACCTTGTCTCTAGCAATTCCAGGCAGAGCACAGAGCAGAAGGCAGCAGTCTGTTGAAGGACACTATGAGGCAAAAGGATGGGGAACTAGGTAGTGACCCATTTAAATTGGTGGACAGAAAAAGAACGAGTGAGGATAACTTTGCCTGTGTGCTTGAATAGGCAAAAAAATAAGCTGTAAAAAAAAAAAAAAAAGTAGCTTGAAGCTGAAAATATACTTTGCACCACAAATAACCTGAATGATTTTACAGTTTTAGGTGAGCACAACAGATCACACTTGTCTTCCTCTCTTATTCAGGAGCAATGCATATTAAAATGAGGAGATTTACTGGCTGAATTAAAAGCACATTTTCGATTAATGCTCTTTTGACTCTCTCCTTGATACTTCACAATGTTACCCATTGCTTCTGCACAGCTGAGTGTATATTACTCTAAGATATTTTTAATAAAACTCTCTTTAAGAAGATCAGAACATTATGCAATGCATCATAAAAGCAAATATATTTAACGGGGAGGGCAGATCTGAGCATACAGTTTTCTGAAGAAGTTTGTCCAGGTCCCTTTGTACAAGAGAGGTCCTCTACCACCTATCCAGGAATTAGAAGTTACAGCTGTCTGCTCCAGTTAAGTCAAAGACAAAATGGCCATTGATTATTTACCTGAAAGATTGAGCCTGGATTGCCCTCATTTCTTCATTATGAAAGAAAATCCCCCCTATAAACTAGTCAGGGGGGATCAACAGGCACTGGGGGAGTCCCTGTTCCCTGGGCGCCGCCAGGAGTGACCAGGAATAACGGTCACAAGTTGGCGGAGGGAAGGTTTAAGTTGGACATCAGGAGGCGCTACTTCACGGTCAGGGCGGCTAGGGTCTGGAACCAGCTTCCAAGTGAGGTGGTGCAGGCTCCCACCCTAGGGGTTTTTAAGAGGAGGTTAGATGACCATCTTGCTGGGGTTGTTTGACCCCCAGTACTCTTTCCTGCCATGGCAGGGGGTCGGACTAGATGATCTGCCCAGGTCCCTTCCGACCCTAGAAACTATAAAACTATGAAACCATGAAAATTTAAAAGGCACCCTAACCCTAAGAAAACACTGCCATTGTAATTATATATAGCATTATTGTTTTGAGGGAAAGATCCGATATGGTTTAAGAAGCAACACTCACCAAAAATAATCATTAGAAACCTCCCCCCTCCCCCGAGTCTCTCCAAATTCTTCCTTTTTTTTTTTTTTTTTTTTTTTTTTTTAATATAAAATAACACAACAGGGATCACAGCTGTGTATTTACCCATTAAAATCGATCTTCCCTTTGTTGCAAGTTCTTCCAAGGAACGCATTTTTAAAAACACTGCTCTAGCTTTCCATTCCTTTTACTGCCAGCCTTACGAGTTCTAAAAGATTCTCAACATTTCACTAAGTTGTATGGTTTACATTAAAATGCATTTTAGAATTGCTCTCTGACAGTTCAAGACAAAAGAGAACCCTCTACATTTCTAGCCATAACAAAAGAGAATCTGAATTTCATGGCAGTTTTACACCACACCACAACCCACTAAAAATCAACATGTGCCTCTGCCTGCAGAAAGGGCAAGGCAGATTTTTGACTTCTTGCAGCTGTGAATTTTTTGTGAGCTTCTGCTCCATGTATTGCTGCTGCATTTCCACCATCGCACACACTTTAAGAGACACAAAATATAACTGAAATGATTCCCAATAACCGACATGGGCATGTGCTGCCTGGAAGAAAGGGCAACCAATGCTGGTCATTTGATTACTGCATATTTAGGTGGGGAAAGCAATGCAGCAGTTAATCCAAACACGGTTCCCATGCGGGGACTAATTTTTGCTGAGCTCTGGGAGTCTGAGATTAAAGGAACTGCTGCTCATGATGTAACCGTTTCATTTTACATTTCCAGAAACGACATTTGTTTACTAATATCCAAAAGAACTGTACACAGATGGTTGAAAGGGATGTTCATACTATCACTAACATAAATAATTTAGACATTAAAAAGGGCCATCAGGTGTAAAGCAAAAGTGTTCTTTCTTCATAGACTAAATTATAAAATACAGAAGTTATGCTAAGAGCTCACCGTAGCCTTATTCACCGGAGTCAGGTTTACCATTCAAGGAATTACCAGTACTTTGTGCAGTATGAAGTACAAAATGTACATTTTTCCTTCTGAACAGTATGACTTGTATGGACTATAAACATTATCAAAGGAAGAGGCTTACTGGTACCTATCACTAAGGCTTCAACAGCCTGATCCTTAAATGTGTTCAGCAACTAACCTCCCTCTCCAGCTTTGTGGAGGTAAAGCTTGTTATGCAATCTGAAACCAGTCTACTCTCTGTAAAACCTGCGTGCGGCCCAGATGGCCTATTTAAATACCCTGAACCTCTCTGCTGAAAAAGCCAGTATTTTCCTTTGGCTGTTCATTTGGTGACAGCCCAAACATGGACTGTAGCAAGGGGGAGTTTTTGCCTTTCGTTTTTTTGTTTGTTTCTTTACAGTGTTTCCTTCCAGAGCTGCAAATCCAGCAAGCTAATGAAGAGAGGAAGAAGATGAGCACTAGACGGGAAAACTCTGTAGAAGAGGTTGATACAAACTACCCTTGAGGAAGAGTGAAATTCCACACAACTTGCCTTCTTTTGTTACAGAACACAGTAGACAACTGGAACACAACCCTGCGAGAGACTTCTGAAACAATACAGGGGAGGCATTAGGGAGGAGGAAGAGAGAAAAGGATAGATTTTAAATTTAGACACACTAGGAATGCAACAAGATGCAGAGGTCTGGGATATAGTCAAGGCCAGGTGGATAATGGATTATTGACTGCTTTCCCTGTTTGACGTGTGGGCTCCAGCCTCGTGATGCCAACCTGTTCACTCCTGGACACAAACACGTGCCTTCAACACTGCCACACACATCAGTCTCCCTGATTCAGTCAGGAGAGGCACAGGTTACATCACGAGGGGAAGGTTTTCATTCAGGTTCAGTGACACAGGCAGGCAGAACATGCCAACACATGGGCGTGCTCCCACAAGCACAGCCAAGAGGGATACTACCAGGCACCTGGACTCTCGCCCTCAGGCAACAGCTGGGGAATCAGAAGCGAGGGACCCTGGCAGTGGCCAGATGGCCCATGACACCACTTTAACTTCCCTAGGCATGTGGACAAGAACCCTTCAGACACAATTGGAGCCCGTCCTGGGCTGGGCACATACAGTCCACACACAGACTGGCAGCCGATAGACTAGACTCAGCCAGAGATGTGGCCCATCCAGGGGGGGCTGCAACCTGCCCACCCTAGATTAGAGAACCATAGGAAATGATGGCTGGAAGGGACTGCTCCAAGCAGGACCATCCCCAACTAGATCATCCCAGCCAGATGCATCTGTGAGGAGCCTGGCACTTGATAGATTAGACTCAGCCAGAGATGCCACCCATCCAGGGGAGCCTGCAACCTGCCTACCCTGGATCATAGAAAATGAGGATTGGCAGGGACCTCAGAAGACCAACTGCTCCAACCCCCTGCTCCAAGGAGGACCATTCCCAACTAATCATCCCAGCCAGATGCATCTGTGAGTCCAGCACCTGATTGGCTCTCTGCCCTGCCTGGCTTCACGCTGGCAGGGCTGCCCACCCTAGATCATAGAAAACAAGGGTTGGCAGGGAACTCAGGAGACCATCTACTCCAACCACCTGCTCCAAGCAGCAGCATCCCCAACTAAATCATCCCAGCCAGCTGCATCGGTGACAAGCCTAGCACCGATAGACTAGACTTGGCCAGAGATGTCACCCATCCAGGGGGGCCTGCAGCCTGCCCACCCTAGATCACACAATCATAGAAAATGAGGACTGGCAGGGACTTCATCAGACCACCTACTCCAACCCCCTGCTCCAAGCAGCACCTTCCCCAACTAGATCATCCCAGCCAGATGCATTCATGAGTGAACCTGGCACTGAATAGACTAGGCTCCGCCAGAGATGCCACCCATGCAGGGGGCTGGGGGGGCGGGGCTGCAACCTGCCCACCCAAGACGCATCCGTGAGTGAGCCTGGCACCTGATCGACTCGGGTCCCCACCTGGCTTCACGCTGGCAGGGCTGCCCACCTCTCTCAGGTGCAAGCAGACACGGAGAGGCGGGCGGCAGAGGTGCCCGGGCGCGGGGGGGCCCCTACCTTGCTCACGACGTTCTGGACGAGGCCGGCGCGGATGCGGTAGTGCCACTCCTGGCATTGGCACTCACTGGTGTTGGGCGGCGGGGCGGTGGGCAGCAGGGCAGGGGGCAGCGCGCTGGGGCCGCCGCTACTGTTGCCGCTGCCATTGCCCGGCGGCCCCGGCGCGCGGGGCCAG